TCGACTCCAATAATGTGAGCCGCTCTGAAAACCGAGAGATTGCGGTGTTCTGGGAGGAAGAAGTGCGCCAGTACATGGCAGCAATATCGTCGGACGATGCCATAAGGGACGAAGCTCTCTGAGGTGAGGAAAAACGAAATAGGAAAACGGATTAGGGAATGAAAGGGGTAGTTTTGATTTCTGGTAAAAAAATATTGTGGGATTTATATATTTTTGGATACTTTTGTGTGCATACGGTGCGGATGCACCAGCACCAGGCGACAGTATATCGCACGGATTTCAGAACTGTCCAACGCTATCGAACATAACAGTGGCAGAATAAATTAGGGAGGGAGTGGGGTTGTTTGTTTTCTGGTGAAAAACATTGGGTGATTTTTATATAGTATGTTTATTGTGTGTGCATACGAGGCGTAATTGGAGAAGTACCCCGGTATGAGGGAATCATTGTGGCTGGCGCTGTGGCAGTACTACTGCATTGTCCATTTTATTCTATTGTGTTCTAAGGCCCATCACTAACAGAAGAATCTTAAAGGGATGGTCGACGAATAAGTTCTATTGGGGAAACAGTGTGCTCCGTGTGACCGCATGGACTGAGGCGCCGTGTCATGGGTGGATGCGGATCCGCTTCTGCGTGTGGCTCTTTGGGTGATTGCTCGCTTGGTGTGCGTTGTGTGCCGGCAGCGGGCTGTGGCCTTATCCCGTTGGCCGTGGGATTGAGCTGGAGGCGGTGGCGGTGTCTCTCTTCTCCTCGTCCATTGGTGTGTGGCTTCTGGCGGCGTGTGCGTTTGTTTTGTGGAGGCCGTCTCGCGGTTTACGCACACAGTGAGCCACAACTGCTGTGAAAGGCCGCTTCTTCTCAGTATGGACATTAAGCCGTTGGGCATTGTGTTTCAGCATTTTTTTCGTTATGCGCATGAGTGCTGGGTGTCTTTCTACGGAGCGTTGGGTGCGACCATCTGCCACGGCCAATTTGTATGGTTGAAGACGCGTTCGCGGGTTAGGGTTAGGGTTAGGGTTAGGGTTAGGGTTAGGGTTAGGGTTAGGGTTAGGGTTAGGGTTAGGGTTAGG